AATGTGTTGGTTTCAGATATTTTAGACAGTATTTCATCATGTTGTGAGCAACATCTAACTACTGAACTAAGCCACCTCAAACAAGTATTTACACAGTATAACCTCTATCCTGAGCAACTAGTACAACAGACGATAAAGAACATCACCAAGAAATCTCAGAAATCCCCACGTCAACAGTCTGCACCCTTTGAGATCAGCCTCCCCTACTTTGGAAGTTAGCCACAAAATCCAGAGAATCTTAAAGAAACAGGCCAACATTGATGTAGTTTTCAAGAGAAGTCATACCATTCAGAACACAATTAAAGCCACAGGGAAACCACCATCCAGCCACAAGCTAGAACCATCAGGAGCAGTGTACCACATTCCATGCAATTGTGGACAAGCTTACCCAGGAGAAACATCTAGGCCCCTCAAAACCAGAATAAAAGAACATCAAAGCTCAGTCTCCAAAGATGACTCTAAATCAGCTCTATCAGACCTCATCCGTGACAACACAAGCCACAGCATTCAGCGGGAGACAGTCACAGCCCTCACCACCAACCTCAAAGACTTCAAGATCAGGAAACTACAAGAAGCCATCAACATCAAAAGACTCTAGACGTCAATCAACCGTGACCAAGGCTATAACATACCCCCGGTGTACCATCAACTCATCAAAGACCCCAATCAGCCATAATCCCCTTGTTTATATTACTGGCTTCACCCTTTGTTTATGTCACTGACTTCACCGATGATTGTCATCACTACCCTTGTGTGTACATGACAGGCTTCTCTACTCCAGTATAACAATATCTACTCTAGTGTATAAACATTGCCTCCTACTTGTATATATACTTGCCAACCACACTCTGTATATCACTTGCTTGATAACGGTGTTAGAATCTACACCGAAACGTCGCTCTTAATTGTAATAAAGAAGTTGTTCGTCCATAAATTCTTATCCTTAGTTAGTACTCCAACTTCTAAATGCCTATCAAAGAAGAGTCTATGCATAGTCCAATCTAAATCGCGCAACGAAATGGTTCGTAAACTGCCATGCAGATTACGGTCTATTGCAGGATTTGCAAAGCATGTGTGCACCGCAAACTCGTTGTCAACAGATGATTACCAAATTTTTTCATGTTTTTAATCAAGGTGCTCACGTGATTTGATGCAAGACCCGTTTTATCACAATATAGATCTTGATTATCGATCAGGTCTCCTGACGTGGCGAAGCAAATGCAAGTGATACGAGAAGTGGAATCTGATTGGTCCATAGGAGAGGCTTAGAAGGGACATAACTGGTAATAGCCACTGGTGGCGCTACGATCGAGTCCAGGAATTCCAGCCTAGTTCGGCAAGGGTGGAAACTGGACTTTTAAAGTCAGTTAACTCTCTTGCCTCGGGAAGATGCACTCAGCAATATTCCAGCAATATTACGGCGGTCTGTAAATAATCGAGTGGGACAGACAATCCAGTGAGTGACATCATGAGCATCGATCCACGCAATTGGGATCGATGACATGCGTCAGCGACCCTGACCACCCGATCCTGTTAGTCGCCTCTTTACGGCAAACATAGTCGCCTTTTATGGCAAGTATGGGTTACTGAAGATTTGTTCTACCCCGGATCTTTATGGGTGCATTATGGTTATATGGTTATAGTGTACAGTATGAGATATATGGTTATATAGTGTACAGTACAGTATGAGATATATGGTTATAGTGTACAGTATGATATATATGGTTATAGTGTACGGTATGAGATATATGGTTATATAGTGTACAGTATGAAATATATAGTAATATAATGTACAATGAGATATGGTTATAGTGTACAGTATGATATATATGTTTATAGTGTATGGTATGAGATATATGGTTATATAGTGGACAGTATGAAATAAATGGTAATATGTGTACAATGACATATGGTTACAGTGTACAATATGATAGATAGAGGTTATCACGCAAGTATGTTTGGGGATGGTAAATATCCTGCATTCGGAATAAACATTGTATTTAGCGAGCCTTGGCGAGAGCCTTTGTCAAAGGGGAGCTACTCTAACCCTAGTCTAGTGACCTCACGGCCACGTTCAGACGTTGCTGACAGTCGGCCTGTCCTGTCTTAACGTTAAGTGCAGTTAGATGTACACACAGCGAGAAAACGGACATGGTAACAATACAAACATATTTCGGCCAAATGTAACTATTTTAATTTGTAGAAAAGGTTTCAAGCCACAGAGGTCTAGATCTACAAGCACAGATATGGCTACTGATCCCGCTTGGCTAGGCCTTGTGCCCTCGCTAAATTGTTTCGAAATTTATATCTCCAAAGTTGCCAAAACTTATAAAATTCCTTAGCTACGTCACAGTTGGACACTGATTGTCAGTATATTAGGCTTTTCTTTTTATAATTATAGCAATTATCCCTTTAGTTTATCCAGATTATGACTCGATCGCCGAATGACAAGGGCGACGCCATGTTTGTTTATAAACACTGAAAGTAGTCCCTACTTGACCTTTGATATTTGCATCTCTATCCGAATATGACCCCAACGGATATCGTTTTTATCCGTTGGCTTTATCCTGCCGAGAAACCTACGCATTATATGATAAACATGGTTATAGAGTACGGTATGAGATATATGGTAATATAGTGTTCAATGAGATATTTGGTTATAGTGTACAGTATGATATACATATATGAATTAGTGTACAATTAGATATATGGTTATAGTGTACAGTATGAGATACATGGTTAAATAGTGTACAGTATAAGATATATAGTTATAAAGTGTACAGTATGAAATATATGGTTATAGTGTACAGTATGACAAATACTGTTAGAGAGTACAGTATGAGATATATGGATATAGTGTACAGTGTGAGATACATCGTTATATAATGTACAGTATAGGGCATATGGTTATATAATGTACACTATGCGATACATGGTTAAATAGTGCACAATATGACAAATATGCTTACAGAGTACAATATGAGACATGGTAAAAGTGTGCAGTGGGAGATACATGGTTATAGTGTACAGTATGAGATACATGAATAAATAGTATACAGTATGAGATACATGGTTAAATAGTATACAGTATAAGATATATAGTGTATAGTGTACAGTATGAAATATATGGTTATAGTGTACAGTATGACATATACCGTTATAGTGTACAGTATAAGATATATAGTGTATAGTGTACAGTATGAAATACATGGTTATAGTGTACAGTATGACATATACCGTTATAGTGTACAGTATGAGATATATGGTAATATATTGTACAGTATGATGTATATGGTTAAAGTGTACAGTATAAGTTCCATGGTTATAGTGTAGAACAGTATGAGATATATAGTTATTGTGTACAACATTATATATTGTTGACATTGAAAATTGTAAACAAATTATGATAAAGTCCTTTGTTTGAAATTTATGTTAAAAAATACAAAAGAGAATTAACAGTGAAATGAGTCAGTTAACATGAAGGAGTGTACCTATATAAACAAGACATTTACTGGCTTGTCTCAAGTCTAGGGAATCCCAGCTACAACTTTCCTGGTTTAAAACCAAAAGCCACGATGCAATCATGTCTTTGGTTAATACTTGTATCTGCATGGCGCATATAAAGCAGATAACATAAGTGTCCAAAGAAATACCTGCATTGAAGCTTTATCTAATATAAACTTTGTATGGGTTCTACCTGGCATACCCAAGAATTGAGGCAATCAGACTGAAGCGCCAATAAAATATCTTCTATTTCTGTAAAATCAATCCAAGAAAATACTAAGGGATGTGTGTATGTACAAACATCTGCTTTATTGTTAACATGACAAAATTACTCTATGCGCTATAATATTTTCATCCCTGATACAGCAGTGCAGTTTTCATCGAGTATTTTTTCCTTTAATAACAACAATAATTATGAAAGATAGTATATATATTTTTTATAGTTTTGATAGTTATCGGTCGCATTCTTTGTTTCATTCTACCAGATTTATAACCATTTATCGAAGACGATTGTATATACAATCTCTCTCTCTCTCTCAGAATTTCCCGTTATCATTCATGACATTTCAATAGTTCATTTCAGTTCAAACGACTCATTTCGTGGACAATGCTAGTCACATGTCACATACATTAATCAAACATCTTCGATATATTATATTGTCAAAAAATCGGTTGGAGATGTCATATCGTTAATTAAAACAAAACACAATACTTGATATTGATGCGAAAATGTGACATGTTCTGCCCTGACCGAGCTACAGACGGGAACGTTGTTAGAGAGAAGGCCAATTAAAAGTCTAACTATTACTTTTTGTTCTTAATCGCACCTCATATTGATTAACGAAAGGAAAATGGCCAGATGTCGCCATATAAATGCAGCTTCCGTCTTTTGTTCTAAAATGTATTCACACCAAGCTGGTATAACAAGCGATGTTATCAGCCATAAATATTTGATGTGGTTTTATATGAAATTAATACAATGAAATTAATAACGAGACCATTTGACACACAATTAAAAAAGAGACTCTGGAAATGTGTTATAAGAATTGATATTGCCCAAGTAAAAAGTTAACAATGTGAAATATAACCATGTGTGTGTTTGTCATACTTTTGTTATAAATAGTTTCCCAGGAAAAGCGACGCATAAATTTACTCATAAGTGTTTGGTTTTATCTGAATTTTTATATCATGTTTATATAGAATAGTTGTGTTGAGCTTTGGACTAATTTGCATACCGTTTTGAGATGAACGAGGCCTCTGTCATGTCAGTTTTTTCGTTAACAGTTTCAAACTCCGTGTGTTTGCCATCATTGTTTATTCTACTGTCTCAAACATGATCTCATAAAATACATATAATGATAGATATTATTTACATTTATAATATTAAATCTACTCTGTGAACACGGTATTATTCCTTTGTCAAATATATCCCCCAGATAGACTGACGGTGTACCCGATTTGCCCCCAGAATGCAAAGCGTTCTTTCATGTTCTATTTTTAGCTCAATTGCCATCCCTCGCTCCATCGCGATCGACTGCGCGTAGCAATTTGGAAGCAGGAAATCCACATCTTTTCCAGTGAGTATTTTGTATAAATCGTCATTTTGGAGGGTGATCCGGGTAGGGAGGCCACAAAGTCCGCTGCAGATTTGAGTTATCGCACAATGGACCGACCACCAATGATCCCGAGGATGTTTCTAGCTGCGAATCAAAATTCAAGGTTCAATCACAAAATCGCATGTTGTGATGGTCGAGTCTTCACCATTTTTGACGATTTTTCGAATTTTCCCACGGCCTTGAAACTCTGTCGACCACCCGACATGATAGGTTTTACATTTACGCAACCGCCCGACCTAACATTGTTTTCTTGTTCTGCGTAAAACAATCGTAAAGCAGTAGATTATCAGTTGCTTAGAGATCTACCGGAAGGTCAGCGAGAGAGTGACCCGATGATACAGGCCGAGCTAGCGTCTTTGTGTAGCCCGGGGGTCGGGCCGGGGCTGGGGGGTCAGCAGCTAGGGTGATGATGTCTTATGGGCTACCGACGCCACCCTAAGGTTACGATAAGGAAGTAGCCTACTTGATATGATCAGTGAGTTATCACTATCCACAAAGACCAAAACAATATTAGTGTGGATTCTCGTGTATAGTAAGTTATTATGGAAAAGTGTTGGGTGGGACCAACTCACTAGTAGGGTATTAGATTTACAACGAGTGATTGTATTTATGTTAATTCTGGTTATAAAATGTTAATGTAAATATCAAGGACCATTTGTGTATAATTTGAGTCCAAATAATAGCACATTGGAGACAGATGCATAACCGCTGGCCCGTTTAGGTTTATACTTCAACCTCAATAACTATGTAAAGCTTGGATCAAAGGCAGGACTCACATCTGTTTGAGATTCTTTATCTATTATAGACTTAATAATGTGACATTTTCATCATAGATTATCCTAGTATTAACTCCATTTACATTATAAATTCATTGAAAATTGGACAGTACATGCCATGACATACTTGTAATTAATGTTACACTGAGGAATAGAGAGATTTGATTTTGTATAAATATCAACATCCCAACGCAGATGTGTAGCAAGCAAAGGGTTGTAAAGTTTGTACAAAGTCTGTGGTTGGAAAGGAATCAAACCATAAGAGTATCTCATCTACATGACATCATGTCTATTCCTGCCTTTGATTACATCAAACTTGAGTCTGTTCAAGTTTCTTTAGCTTTTCTAATCTAAGCTTTTATCTTACCTAAGCTTTTATCAATGCATAATATCACATATGCTATCATGGTTAGAAGAGATGACTAGTATCTAAGTCATATTATTTAAGCCTTTTTGACTGAAAAGAAATTGACGCCACAAAGTAGACAATCCCACAAATAACATGGGTGAGACCTTCACTACATATCATCACCATGTCAGTTTGCTTCCAAACACTTGTGTTTACATATCAAAGTTTAAGGAATGATCTGTCAGTACTAGCCATGGTAGTTGCCTGTTAATGAACAAATCCTACCTATCACCAACTTGACCATTGATCATATTACTATATCATTACGCATGCATGTCAGATTCAGTAACAAAATGCTATTTCCCATGTATGTGCTGCAGTATGTTGATTGGTTCTGTCTATATGGACCATGATGCTTTGCATAGACTTAATCATTCCCAAGATAAAGAAGACAGTTGGTCTCATTTTTAAGATAGCAAAACACCTGATGTCTTTTTTCATGTAAACCGTGTACGCCTTAGAAAGCTTTGATCTTTTCTTATGCTTAGGACATGTTAAGTAAATGTCTGAATTATTTCTGATTTACAGTGTGTGCAATTGTTTTCTTTCAGTATTTCTTGCACATTCTACACCAGGGTCTGTTATTGGTGGAGACCCTCGAATGTCCGGATATACCCAGGTTCAAGATAACGACTGGTTCGTTACGTACAAAAGTCTGAGATAATCATTGGTACATTATGTACAGAGGCCTGAGATAACCAGTGGTACATTATGTACAGAGGCCTGAGATAAGCAGTGGTACATTATGTACAGAGGTCTAAGATAACCACTGATACATTATGTACAGAGGCCTGAGATAACCAGTGGTACATTGTGTACAGAGGCCTGAGATAACCATTGGTACATTATGTACAGAGGTGTGAGATAACCAGTGGTACATTATGTACAGAGGTGTGAGATAACCACTGATACATTATGTACAAAGGTCTGAGATAACGAGTGGTACATTATGAACAGAGGTCTGAGATAACCATTGGTATATTATGAACAGAGGTCTGAGATAACCAGTGGTACATTATGTACAGAGGTCTGCGATAACCACTGATACATTGTGTACAGATGTCTGAGATAATCATTGGTACATTGTGTACAGAGGTCTGAGATAACCAGTGGTACAATTTGTACAGAGGTGTGAGATAACCACTGATACATTGTGTACAGAGGTGTGAGATAACCAGTGGTACATTATGTACAGAGGCCTGATATAACCAGTGGTACAATTTGTACAGAGGTGTGAGATAACCACTGATACATTGTGTACAGAGGTGTGAGATAACCACTGATACATTATGTACAGAGGTCTGAGATAACCATTGGTACATTATGTACAGAGGTCTGAGATAACCAGTGGTACATTATGTACAGAGGTCTGAGATAACCACTGATACATTATGTACAGAGGTCTGAGATAACCATTGGTACATTATGTACAGAGGTCTGAGATAACCAGTGGTACATTATGTACAGAGGTCTGAGATAACCAGTGGTACATTATGTACAGAGGTCTGAGATAACCAGTGGTACATTATGTACAGAGGTCTGAGATAACCACTGATACATTATGTACAGAGGTCTGAGATAACCATTGGTACATTATGTACAGAGGTCTGAGATAACCAGTGGTACATTATGTACAGAGGTCTGAGATAACCAGTGGTACATTATGTACAGAGGTCTGAGATAACCAGTGGTACATTATGTACAGAGGTCTGAGATAACCAGTGGTACATTATGTACAGAGGTCTGAGATAACCACTGATACATTATGTACAGAGGTCTGAGATAACCATTGGTACATTATGTACAGAGGTCTGAGATAACCAGTGGTACATTATGTACAGAGGTCTGAGATAACCAGTGGTACATTATGTACAGAGGTCTGAGATAACCAGTGGTACATTATGTACAGAGGTCTGAGATAACCACTGATACATTATGTACAGAGGTCTGAGATAACCAGTGGTACATTATGTACAGAGGTCTGAGATAACCAGTGGTACATTATGTACAGAGGTCTGAGATAACCAGTGGTACATCATGTACAGAGGTCTGAGATAACCAGTGGTACATTGTGTACAGAGGTGTGAGATAACCAGTGGTACATCATGTACAGAGGTCTGAGATAACCAGTGGTACATTGTGTACAGAGGTGTGAGATAACCAGTGGTACATTATGTACAGAGGTCTGAGATAACCAGTGGTACATTATGTACAGAGGTCTGAGATAACCAGTGGTACATTATGTACAGAGGTCTGAGATAACCACTGATACATTATGTACAGAGGTCTGAGATAACCATTGGTACATTATGTACAGAGGTCTGAGATAACCAGTGGTACATTATGTACAGAGGTCTGAGATAACCAGTGGTACATTATGTACAGAGGTCTGAGATAACCAGTGGTACATTATGTACAGAGGTCTGAGATAACCACTGATACATTATGTACAGAGGTCTGAGATAACCAGTGGTACATTATGTACAGAGGTCTGAGATAACCAGTGGTACATTATGTACAGAGGTCTGAGATAACCAGTGGTACATCATGTACAGAGGTCTGAGATAACCAGTGGTACATTGTGTACAGAGGTGTGAGATAACCAGTGGTACATCATGTACAGAGGTCTGAGATAACCAGTGGTACATTGTGTACAGAGGTGTGAGATAACCAGTGGTACATTATGTACAGAGGTCTGAGATAACCAGTGGTACATCATGTACAGAGGTCTGAGATAACCAGTGGTACATTGTGTACAGGGGTCTGAGATAACCACTGATTCATTATGTACAGAGGCCCGAGATAACCAGTGGTACATTGTGTACAGAGGTGTGAGATAACCAGAAATACATTATGTACAGATGTCTGAGATAACCAGTGGTAGATTATGTACAGAGGTCTGAGATAACCAGTGGTACATTATGTACAGAGGTCTGAGATAACCAGTGGTACATTATGTACAGAGGTCTGAGATAACCACTGATACATTATGTACAGAGGCCTGAGATAACCAGTGGTACATTGTGTACAGAGGTGTGAGATAACCAGTGGTACATTGTGTACAGAGGTGCGAGATAACCACTGATACATTGTGTACAGAGGTCTGAGATAACCAGTGGTACCTTATTAACAGATGCCTGAGATAACCATTGGTACATTATGTACAGAGGTCTGAGATAACCAGTAGTACATTATTTACAGAGGTCTGCGATAACCACTGATACATTATGTACAGAGGTCTGAGATAACCAGAAATACATTATGTACAGATGTCTGAGATAACCAGTGGTACATTATGTACAGAGGTCTGAGATAACCAGTGGTACATTATGTACAGAGGTCTGAGATAACCAGTGGTACATTATGTACAGAGGTCTGAGATAACCACTGATACATTATGTACAGAGGCCTGAGATAACCAGTGGTACATTGTGTACAGAGGTGTGAGATAACCAGTGGTACATTGTGTACAGAGGTGCGAGATAACCACTGATACATTGTGTACAGAGGTCTGAGATAACCAGTGGTACCTTATTAACAGATGCCTGAGATAACCATTGGTACATTATGTACAGAGGTCTGAGATAACCAGTAGTACATTATTTACAGAGGTCTGTGATAACCACTGATACATTGTGTACAGAGGTCTGAGATAACCAGAAATACATTATGTACAGAGGTCTGAGATAACCAGTAGTACATTATTTACAGAGGTCTGCGATAACCACTGATACATTATGTACAGACGTCTGAGATAACCACTGATACATTGTGTACAGAGGTCTGAGATAACCATTGGTACATTATGTACAGAGGTCTGAGATAACCAGTGGTACATTATGTACAGAGGTCTGAGATAACAACTGATACATTGTGTACAGACGTCTGAGATAACCACTGATACATTGTGTACAGAGGTCTGAGATAACCAGTGGTACATTGTGTACAGAGGTCTGAGATAACAACTGATACATTGTGTACAGAGGTGTGAGATAACCAGTGGTACATTATGTACAGATGTCTGAGATAACCAGTGGTACTTTATGTACAGAGGTCTGAGATAACCAGTGATACATTATGTACAGAGGTCTGAGATAACCAGAAATACATTTTGTACAGACGTCTGAGATAACCAGTGGTACATTATGTACAGAGGTGTGAGATAACCAGAAATACATTTTGTACAGAGGTCTGAGATAACCAGTGGTACATTATGTACAGAGGTCTGAGATAACCAGTGGTACATTGTGTACAGAGGTGTGAGATAACCAGTGGTACATTATGTACAGATGTCTGAGATAACCAGTGGTACATTATGTACAGAGGCCTGATATAACCAGTGGTACATTATGTACAGAGGCCTGATATAACCACTGGTACATTATGTACAGAGGTCTGAGATAACCAGTGGTACATTATGTACAGATGTCTGAGATAACCATTGGTACATTATGTACAGAGGTCTGAGATAACCAGTGGTACATCATGTACAGAGGTCTGAGATAACCAGTGGTACATCATGTACAGAGGTCTGAGGTAAACAGTGGTACATTGTGTACAGGGGTCTGAGATAACCAGTGGTACATTATGTACAGAGGTCTGAGATAACCAGTGGTACATTATGTACAGAGGTCTGAGATAACCAGTGGTACATTATGTACAGAGGCCTGATATAACAACTGATACATTGTGTACAGAGGTGTGAGATAACCACTGATACATTATGTACAAAGGTCTGAGATAACGAGTGGTACATTATGAACAGATGTCTGAGATAACCACTGGTACATTATGAACGGAGGTCTGAGATAACCAGTGGTACATTATGTACAGAGGTCTGAGATAACCACTGATACATTGTGTACAGATGTCTGAGATAATCATTGGTACATTGTGTACAGAGGTCTGAGATAACCAGTGGTACAATTTGTACAGAGGTGTGAGATAACCACTGATACATTGTGTACAGAGGTCTGAGATAACCAGTGGTACGTTATGAACAGAGGTCTGAGATAACCAGTGGTACATCATGTACAGAGGTGTGGGATAACCAGTGGTACATTATGAACAGTGGTGTGAGATAACCAGTGGTACATTATGAACAGAGGTCTGAGATAACCAGTGATACATTATGTAGGTAGGTCTGAGATAACCAGTGGTACATCATGTACAGAGGTCTGAGATAATCACTGGTACATTATGTACATGAGGCTAAGATAATCACTGGTACATTATGTACATGAGGCTAAGATAATCACTGGTACATTATGTACATGAGGCTAAGATAATCACTGGTACATTATGTAGTCAAGGCCATTAGTTCTTGATGTGCGGCTCTACACAGGTAGACACATCTTCCCGAGGCAAGAGAGTTAACTGACTTTAAAAGTCCAGTTTCCGCCCTTGCCGAACTAGGCTTGAATTACTGGACTTGATCGTAGCAGGTAGACAAGGCCATCAGGTGCTTCATGTGTCTCTCTACACAGGTAGCCAAGGCCATGAGGTGCTTCATGTGTCCCTCTACACAGGTAGACAAGGCCATGAGCTGCTTTATGTGTCCCTCTACACAGGTAGACAAGGCCATGAGGTGCTTCATGTGTCTCTCTACACAGGTAGACAAGGCCATGAGGTGCTTCATGTGTCTCTCTACACAGGTAGACAAGGCCATGAGGTGCTTCATGTGTCCCTCTACACAGGTAGACAAGGCCATGAGGTGCTTCATGTGTCTCTCTACACAGGTAGACAAGGCCATGAGGTGCTTCATGTGTCTCTCTACACAGGTAGACAAGGCCATGAGGTGCTTCATGTGTCTCTCTACACAGGTAGACAAGGCCATGAGGTGCTTCATGTGTCTCTCTACACAGGTAGACAAGGCCATGAGGTGCTTCATGTGTCCCTCTACACAGGTAGACAAGGCCATGAGGTGCTTCATGTGTCTCTCTACACAGGTAGACAAGGCCATGAGGTGCTTCATGTGTCTCTCTACACAGGTAGACAAGGCCATGAGGTGCTTCATGTGTCTCTCTACACAGGTAGACAAGGCCATGAGGTGCTTCATGTGTCCCTCTACACAGGTAGACAAGGCCATGAGGTGCTTCATGTGTCTCTCTACACAGGTAGACAAGGCCATGAGGTGCTTCATGTGTCTCTCTACACAAGTAGACAAGGCCATGAGGTGCTTCATGTGTCTCTCTACACAGGTAGACAAGGCCATGAGGTGTTCATGTGTCCCTCTACACAGGTAGACAAGGCCATGAGGTGCTTCATGTGTCCTTCTACACAGGTAGACAAGGCCATGAGGTGCTTCATGTGTCCTTCTACACAGGTAGACAAGGCCATGAGGTGCTTCATGTGTCTCTCTACACAGGTAGACAAGGCCATGAGGTGTTCATGTGTCCCTCTACACAGGTAGACAAGGCCATGAGGTGCTTCATGTGTCCCTCTACACAGGTTGACATGGCCATGAGGTGCTTCATGTGTCCCTCTACACAGGTAGACAAGGCCATGAGGTGCTTCATGTGTGTCTCTTTGCACCCAGTTATGTATCTAGGTTTGTCAGCATCATAACCCTGCTCTATGGTTTCACCAAAGTGGTAAACATCTGAGACCTGCATCATTTTGAGCTTTCCTCCCACACCTTGATATAACTGAAATACTGTTTAAACAGCATAAACCCAACTCGCAGGGAAATTTAACTGATGCATGCAACAGGGTGGTCAGGTAGCCAAGTTGTTAAAGCATTCGCTCGTCACACCAAAGACCCCGGGTTCGATTTCCGACATGGGTACAATGTGTGAAGCCCATCTCTGGTGTCCCTTGCTGTGATATTGCTGGAATATTGCTAAAATATTCTTTTGCTTTTCTCACTTTTGCTTACAACAACATTCACTCACTTCATTGTGTTCACTGTTTCATAAGTCTTGTTATTTTAGAGCTTGTTTCTTATGAGTTGAATTTATTTACATCCAATTTGAATATGGGTACAGATAATAAGGGGGCTTGAGGTAGGGAGTGGGTAGTTCATGACGAAGGGAAGTGGAATGGGGACAGGTAGTTCATGATGAATTGAAGTGGAGTAGGGGACAGGTAGTTCACGATGAAGGGAAGTGAGGTGGGGGACAGGTAGTTCATGATGAAGGGAAGTGGGGAGGGGACAGGTAGTTCATGAAGAAGGGAATTGAGGTGGGGGACAGGTAGTTCATGATAAAGGGAACTGGGGAGGGGACAGGTAGTTAATGATGAAGGGAAGTGAGGTGGGGGACAGGTAGTTCATGATGAAGGGAACTGGGGAGGGGACAGGTAGTTCATGATGAAGGGAAGTGGGGAGGGGACAGGTAGTTAATGATGAAGGGATGTGAGGTGGGGGACAAGTAGTTCATGATAAAGGGAAGTGAGGTTGGGGACAGGTAGTTCATGATGAAGGGAAGTGGGGAGGGGACAGGTAGTTCATGATGAAGGGAAGTGGGAAGGGGACAGGTAGTTCATGATGAAGGGAAGTGGGGAGGGGACAGGTAGTTCATGATAAAGGGATGTGAAGTGGGGGACATGTAGTTCATGATGAAGGGAAGTGGGTAGGGGACAGGTAGTTCATGATGAAGGGAAGTGGGGAGGGGACAGGTAGTTCATGATAAAGGGAACTGGGGAGGGGACAGGTAGTTCATGATGAAGGGAAGTGGGGAGGGGACAGGTAGTTCATGATAAAGGGAAGTGGGGAGGGGACAGGTAGTTCATGATGAAGGGAAGTGGGGTAGGGGACAAGTAATTCATGATGAAGGGAAGTGGGGAGGGGACAGGTAGTTCATGATAAAGGGAAGTGGGGAGGGGACAGGTAGTTCATGATGAAGGGAAGTTAGGAGGGGACAGGTAGTTCATGATAAAGGGATGTGAAGTTGGGGACAGGTAGTTCATGATGAAGGGAAGTGGGGAGGGGACAGGTAGTTCATGATAAAGGGAAGTGAGGCGGGGACATGTAGTTCATGATGAAGGGAAGTGGGGAGGGGACAGGTAGTTAATGATGAAGGGATGTGAGGTGGGGGACAAGTAGTTCATGATGAAGGGAAGTGGGCAGGGGGACAGGTAGTTCATGATAAAGGGAAGTGGGGAGGGGACAGGTAGTTCATAATGAAGGGAAGTGGGAAGGGGACAGGTAGTTCATGATGAAGGGAAGTGAAGTGGGGGACAGGTAGTTCATGATGAAGGGAAGTGGGGAGGGGGACAGGTAGTTCATGATAAAGGGATGTAAAGTGGGGGACAGGTAGTTCATGATGAAGGGAAGTGGGAAGGGGACAGGTAGTTCATGATAAAGGGATGTGAGATGGGGGACAGGTAGTTCATGATGAAGGGAAACTGGGTAGGGGGTGGGTAGTTCATGATGAAAGGAAGTGGGGAGGGGACAGGTAGTTTATGACAAAGGGAAGTGGGGTAGGGGACAGGTAGTTCGTGATAATGGGGACTGGGGAGGGGACAGGTAGTTCACGATGAAGGGAAGTTGGGTAGGGGACAGGTAGTTCATGATAAAGGAAACTGGGGAGGGGACAGGTAGTTCATGATAAAGGGAACTGGGGAGGGGACAGGTAGTTCATGATAAAGGGAACTGGGGAGGGGACAGGTAGTTCATGATAAAGGGAAGTGGGGAGGGTACAGGTAGTTCATGATGAAGGGAAGTGGGAAGGGGACAGGTAGTTCATGATGAAGGGAAGTGGGGAGGGGACAGGTAGTTCATGATAAAGGGATGTGAAGTGGGGGACAGGTAGTTCATGATAAAGGGAAGTGGGGAGGGGACAGGTAGTTCATGATGAAGGGAAGTGGGAGGGGACAGGTAGTTCATTATAAAGGGATGTGAGGTGGGGGACAGGTAGTTCATGATGAAGGGAAACTTGGTAAGGGACAGGTAGTTCATGATAAAGGGAAGTTGGGAGGGGATGGGTAGTTAATGATGAAGGGAAACGGAGTAGGGGACAGGTAGTTCATGATGAAGGGAAGTGGGGTAAGGGACAGGTAGTTCATAATAAAGGGAAGTGGCGTACGGGACAGGTAGTTCATGATAAAGGGAAGTGGGGTAGGGGACAGGTTGTTCATGATAAGGGGAACTGGGGAGGGGACAGGTAGTTCATGATAAAGGGAACTGGGGAGGGGACAGGTAGTTCATGATAAAGGGAAGTGGGGTAGGGGACAGGTAGTTCATGATAAAGGGAAGTGGGGAGGGGACAGGTAGTTCATGATAAAGGGAAGTGGGGTAGGGGGTGGGTAGTTCATGATGTAGAGACCTGTTGTCAAATGTCTGGAATCAGCTCCTTTGAACTCCAGGTCTGTAATAGTATGCATTATCTTAACATGCTTAAGGTGGAGTATGACTGGCCCATTATATGACTGTATTGATTATGCTGCCCATGTGGTGATCAATATACTCTGAGTGGTTGTTCAAACGTTGTTTTTGTGGTTATTTAGTATTGCTTAACATGCATGCTCACATATATTTTGACTTTTCCATTCAGGCCAACTAACAGTCGTTTGATGAGTGGACTAGCTCGACAACACTGGCTCATGTGAGACTTGATCAGGCAGCCAGTTTACTACCATTCCCCTTGTGTGTTGCTGTTACCCGTGTATGTTAGACGCTTGCAGTGAAAGTAGTAAACTGTCTACATGATGGTGTAACATCTCCTTCTTCTGCTTCTTGCAGGCATATTTTGATGCACGACAAGACCGGATCAGTCACTCTGGACGGACTACCGGGACTCCCCCCTCCCAGGATGCCTTCCCAGCCGATGCCCAGTCCCATGGACCGGGAACACGGCATGGGGTGAGTGCACTCTCCTTCGCTCTCACACCTACGTACCCGCTTGCCACAGCAACCTGGTGATGATTGCTTGCTGTTGATACAAGTGTAAACCTGGACAGGTGGAATAGGGTCCATTCTACTCGCTAAAATAAATTAGTTATGACTGGTTTAATTACACCTACCACCACCCACACAGCCACCCCTACCCAACCCTAGCATTTTTGACAGTCAAATATTGCAAAATGCGTTGTAATTAGCTTTTCAAGTTCACAACTAAACATAACCGCTACAAACCTAGTTGGCAGCATATCAACATTGTCACCTCCTATTGTTGAAACCCTTGATTATATTGATAAAACTAAAATTATTTTCAAATCATCAACTGTCATCTCACCTGCACATTTATTACAAGCAATGTCAAACCATCTCACATCAATTGACATTTTTTAAAGTGTCTCTGAGATGTCCAGAAGGTGATGTGACCAGTTTTCGTGGTGTATGTCACAAGACTGCTTGCATTCTTTCAAGCACTGTGAAACATGTTTATTAGATTGTCAAAGTTATTTTGTTACTAAATATGAGAATGCCCCAAAATTGAGGTCGTTCTGACGTGAACCCTAAATGGGATGTCCTCAGATCTTTGTTTAGCGGTAGCAAGAACTAAGATCTGATTTTAATGAGATTGAAATTGATATGAATCATTTTTCCCCAGTTCTTTCAAACATACATGATATGTTCAATCCAAGTTTCTGCATACTTGAATAATTAAATATTCGTTGTGTTCATTGAATCGTTCTGATTAGCTGAATTGGTCACGTGTTATTGCATTCATTTCCCAATTAAGCCACGCCCACTACGCCATTCTAACCCACATTTTTCCAAGTGTGTCTTCACGTTCTCAGGGACGTTATGTTTGAATCTGGCAGTAACTGACCATGTTATTTGAAACAGCTGCCTTCTCCCGGACATATTTGTTCTGGTTCGTTACAGTCTTTCTGTTGCACTTATTCTCACCATTTGCCTTGGTTGGCAGGTCCAATGAACATTGTTTTGATCCTACTCTCCGTTGATTGGCTGCTGACTTTGTAGGCGTATAGGCATGTCAAGTTATGTGCATAAATTAAACAATCACCTGATTCCTGTCATGCCAGTCTGTATTCCAACACCTGAAATGTTTATCAATGTCATCATTTTTGTCTGCTGTGATATATACAACTTTGGGGTTAAAATATTGTAGATAAAACATGTTTCTTTGTCAAATTATATATGTTTTAAGCATTGACTGTGTATTTTTTTCGGTTCATTGAGTTATGAATAAAAAAAACAATGTGCAAACTTTTGTAAGAATCCGCGTAACAGTTTGCACATGGGCTTTTCGATTCAAACCTCAACATGCTCAATAACCTGAAAAAATACACAGTCAGTCCTTAACTGGATTATATTGTGCATAGTGAGGGAGTCCCAAGTAACAAACTACAGCCATGAGTCCTGTGTGTGGTTTACTGTGTCTGTATCACACACGCCATGAGTCCTGTCTATGGTTTACTGTGTCTGTATCGCACACACCATGAGTCCAGTCTATGGTTTACTGTGTCTGTATCGCACACGCCATGAGTCCTGTCTATGGTTTACTGTGTCTGTATCACACACGCCATGAGTCCTGTCTGTGGTTTACTGTGTCTGTATCATTATGCCATGAGTCCTGTCTATGGTTTACTGTGTCTGTATCACACACGCCATGAGTCCTGTCTATGGTTTACTGTGTCTGTATCGCACACACCATGAGTACTGTCTATGGTTTACTGTGTCTATCACAAACGCCATTAGTCCTGTCTATGGTTTACTGTGTCTGTATCGCACACGCCATGAGTCCTGTCTATGGTTTACTGTGTCTGTATCGCACACGCCAAGAATCCTGTCTAAGGTTTACTGTGTCTGTATCACACACGCCATGAGTCCTGTCTATGGTTTACTGTGTCTGTATCGCACACACCATGAGTCCTGTCTATGGTTTACTGTGTCTATAACACACGCCATGATTCCTGTCTATAGTTCCGGTGTCTGTTTCACACACGCCATGAGTCCTTTCTATGGTTTACTGTGTCTGTATCACACACGCCATGAGTCCTGTCTGTGGTTTACTGTGTCTGTATCGCACACGCCATGAGTCCTGTCTATGGTTTACTGTGTCTGTATCATTATGCCATGAGTCCTGTCTATGGTTAACTGTGTCTGTATCACACACGCCATGAGTCCTGTCTATGGTTTACTGTGTCTGTATCGCACACACCATGAGTCCTTTCTATGGTTTACTGTGTCTATCACAAACGCCATGAGTCCTGTCTATGGTTTACTGTGTCTGTATCGCACACGCCTTGAGTCCTGTCTATGGTTTACTGTGTCTGTATCGCACACGCCATGAGTCCTGTCTATGGTTTACTGTGTCTATCACACACGCCATGATTCCTTGGTTTACTGAGTCTATCACACACGCCATGAGTCCTGCTGTGGTTTACTGTGTATGTATCGCACACGCCATGAGTCCTGCTATGGTTTACTGTGTATGTATCGCACACGCCATGAGTCCTGTCTGTGGTTTACTGTGTATGTATCGCACACGCCATGAGTCCTGCTGTGGTTTACTGTGTATGTATCGCACACACTTTCATGATGTTCATGTCCCATATACTTGTTCAGTTTACCTGTACTGAAGTACACTGATCATGTGTACTTGCCCTAAGTTCCACACACTTAGGAGTATTTGTCCCTAATCACTTTCAGGTCCCAACCAAATCAAGACGATGCTTTTGAGAGTTTTTGCTGTTATGGTGATGTGACTGATATAATCATTTTGTATGGATTTCAGGTGAACATGGTTAATATGTTGATAAAGACAGTGTGGAGGGTCTGAAGCTACCTCATGATAAGCAAGGAGGGGTTGGGGTGGTGTTGCCATGGTTACACAAATTGCAGTTTACCATCTCATCCAACGTCCAGTGTATCACACTTACATATGTACCATTAACATTGATTGAAGGGTTCAAGTAATATGTGTTTTCATACTGACAAACACCTGCAGACGGAATCCTGAATAATTTATTATGGTCACAACAAGCGTGTGTGAAGAACCACCATTGCAGCTCTGCAGTGTCCTACTTTGTCCCAGACTGTTTACCTGTAGTTTGTAGAATGACAGGGCATTATATTTTATGAGGTGTGAGCCGAGTTATTGTATTTACCCTTTTTACTGACAAAACTTACTGATGGTGACAGTGTGTATAATTATTAATACCATGATTAACCATGCAAATTGAGTAGCAGCTCATTGACCAACACGTCCATCAGTGATTTAGAGATTGAAATAACTACCATGTAGGCTTTTGCCATTAGAAAGTAATCATGATTATCAAAGAGATGCATTTGGATTGATGAAATGTGTATCAGGTTTGATCCTACTCATAGATTAGTGACACTGTCTAAGCGCTTAGATGATCGTACTCCCATACTTTAACATAGGCTTACAAACGTCGTAGTGCTAAGATCGCTTTGTGAAAGTGGGCCCTGGTGGCCTATATAGTGACATTGTCTGTATACAGACCCATGTCCTGGTGGTCCATATGGCGAGACTGCTTGTATACTGACACACATCCTGGTGGTCAGCATGGCGACACTGTCTGTATACTGACACACATCCTGGTGGTCAACATGGCGACACTGTCTATATACAGACGCACATCCTGGTGGTCAGCATGGCTACACTGTCTGTATACAGACACATGTCCTGGTGGTCAGCATGGCAACACTGTCTGTATACAGACACATGTCCTGATGGTCTGCATGGCAACACTGTCTGTATACAGACACATGTCCTGGTGGTCAGCATGGCGACACTGTCTGTACACAGACACATATCCTGGTGGTCAGCATGGCGACACTGTATACAGACACACGTCCTGATGGTCTGCATGGCAACACTGTCTGTATACAGACACATGTCCTGGTGGTCAGCATGGCAACACTGTCTGTACACAGACACACGTCCTGATGGTCTGCATGGCAACACTGTCTGTATACAGACACATGTCCTGGTGGTCAGCATGGCAACACTGTCTGTACACAGACACATGTCCTGATGGTCTGCATGGCAACACTGTCTGTATACAGACACACGTCCTGATGGTCTGCATGGCAACACTGTCTGTATACAGACACATGTCCTGGTGGTCAGCATGGCAACACTGTCTGTACACAGACACACGTCCTGATGGTCAGCATGGCAACACTGTCTGTATACAGACACACGTCCTGATGGTCTGCATGGCAACACTGTCTGTATACAGACACACGTCCTGATGGTCAGCATGGCAACACTGTCTGTACACAGACACACGTCCTGATGGTCTGCATGGCAACACTGTCTGTATACAGACACATGTCCTGGTGGTCTGCATGGCAACACTGTCTGTATACAGACACACGTCCTGATGGTCTGCATGGCAACACTGTCTGTATACAGACACACGTCCTGATGGTCTGCATGGCAACACTGTCTGTATACAGACACACGTCCTGATGGTCAGCATGGCGACACTGTCTGTACACAGACACACGTCCTGATGGTCTGCATGGCAACACTGTCTGTATACAGACACACGTCCTGATGGTCAGCATGGCAACACTGTCTGTACACAGACACACGTCCTGATGGTCTGCATGGCAACACTGTCTGTACACAGACACATGTCCTGATGGTCAGCATGGCTACACTGTCTGTATACAGACACATGTCCTGGTGGTCAGCATGGCAACACTGTCTGTATACAGACACACGTCCTGATGGTCAGCATGGCAACACTGTCTGTACACAGACACATGTCCTGGTGGTCAGCATGGCAACACTGTCTGTATACAGACACATGTCCTGGTGGTCAGCATGGCAACACTGTCTGTACACAGACACATATCCTGGTGGTCAGCATGGCAACACTGTCTGTACACAGACACATGTCCTGATGGTCAGC